CCAGGCCCAGGCCCCAGTTGCTGGAGATTGAGAACTCATTGAGATTGGAGGTCTTGGAGACCAGATCTTCCTCATAGAGGTGATGACCTGGTGATGTATGATGGGATGTCGTGGAGTTGCTGATAGATGCTGGTTGATGGACTTCTGTGTGGGAATCATGAGAACTAATATGATTGAATAAGATTGATGAAACATTTGACACATTACAAGTCAACATGTTTGCTAGACACGTTCTTCAAAACAACTAACATTTTCAAAAAAACACAGAAAACCACAAATCACAAAAACGCGTAAAAACCACACCCGCATAACGTCGTTTTCTGGATAATTATTGGGTGTGTGCATTCGGAGTAAGTCCTTCTCTATGGGTCTGAGAGTCCCATACCCAACACATGTATGGACATGTTGACCTACATTGGGGTGATTTCGTGTGATGACCAGGTCACTTTAGAATACTTGAACATGTTTTTTAAGGGCCAAATGGTGTAGGCCAAATCTTCCGTGCATGGGTGGTTCTTGGGAGAGAGTCGCATGAAAAAAAACTTGATTTCATCGTCGGATATGTGCACATCGTCCAGGACGGCTTCTGGGATGGCTAAGGACATCAAATACTTGCTGTTGCACCAGCCTGGCACACTCCCTCCCCCTGCTAAAAATAGAACGCGGCACTCTGTGCATCAAAAAATATCAAAATGACACATATCAACATCCTTATAAAACGCGAAGCTTGCGTTACATGCGTCATGTTATGTCTGTTCCCTTCGGTTCCCTTCGTGGAAACCCTCGGCCGTCCGCGACGCGGCCGCCTCTTGGTCTCTGGAGCGAGCCTCGGACGGGACGGAGGGGTCTTCTGCACGAAAGGATCCACGGTTTGAGTAGCCGTTTGGTGTATGGCCAAGGGTTTGGTGCATCCGCGCCCCAGTGCTTCACTCGAAAGACAAAGAAAAGGTCTAATGTCTCATAGTCTCAGAGGAGCAGAAGTTAGGTGGTTAGACCCTAGGTGGTTAGACCCCCCAATCCCACCTTCAACCATCTTCGAAACGGTGGTTGGAGCCCTATAGGGATCATATCCCCAAAAAGTCTCATCGACTTCGGAGACTTCTAGGACTGAGCCAGTCCCTCACATCAGAACGTAGAACACGGCCCAAGCACGCACCATTTGTTGGGGTGGGTGGCTTCCTTGGGTGAAATCCAAACGTCGTTTCTGGGAAATGCACCCTCAACAGAAACCCTTCAGCTGGGTCACTTCAGTATCTCCGCCGGGATGGTCGCAATGTACCTGTGGTGCGCCATGCATGGCGTGGTGCTATGACTCTGTAACTTCCGGAACCCCTTTGCTGAAAAAGCCTAAGTTCAAAGGTAACGATACAAGGTCAAAGGTAACGTTCCACAAGTGGCTTTCACTGACATGCATCTCACTGGCTTTCACATGCTTTCAGATGCCACACACGTCCCCATTCAGCCACGCTCATCTCACAAAGCGATGCCGCTCATCTTCAGGTCCCTGTAGAAAGATTCTTGCATTGAGTCGGCCGTGTCACAGTCCACAAATCCAACCATGTAGCTTCCCTTGCCTGAATTGTATGCCTTACTCCCTTGCCTAGACTTATATAATCTACGCAAAGTGTCACTGGTGCTTAAGTGGCCTATGAAGAGTCTTCCATCTCCAGCGGATCAATGTATAAACTGCGCCAACTGATTCCTCACTGTGCCCCATTGCCCACCGAGCTCCAGAAGAACTGGGAACCCGAGCTCCCGCATGTTGGCCACTTCCTCAATATCCTTGGGTGTCTTTCTCAGCTGCGAGAAAATCCCTGAATAGCCATCCACGATCTCCTGGCCGCGGATGGAAGCGATGTGTCTTTTTTTGTGAGTGGGTCAGGTTTCTTCAACTTGAGTCATTTTGATCCACAAGACTAAGAATGGATGAAGCGATGTCTATCTGGCTGAAGTACAGAATGCTCCAGAACCGTGCCTGTCAGCTTCATCATTTCTTCTTCCAAATCATTGGACAAACAGTAGAAAGAGAAGGGCGGCAAATCAGGTGTTTCCTGTCTAGTGCGGGAATGTGACGAGCCTCCCAAAACCCTCTTCTGAGTCTGTCCGGGCCACTGTAAGGGGCCCCTGTTTCAAAGAGAAGCGATTCACACGTTTTGCCCCAGGGGAAGTTCAAGCAGGACAGTTATCAAACCATGATGGATCTTCAACCCCTAAGCTTGCAGCTCCCGTGCTGCAGCTGATGACGCACGCGCAAACCAGATGTTACGCGCCGGTCATGACGCGCGCCGGAGCTTTCCGCCACGCCTGCGCACCATCGCGGAATCGGGTCCTGGTGACGGACATGGACAGCATGTCCATGTCTTTTCTCAATGGACATGCTCTACTGTTGAGACAATGGATGTCCCTACTCTGAGTTCTCATGGGTTTTGCCATGTATAAATCCCAAGCCGTTGAAGAACTTCGTGAACAAATGCCGGCTTAGACTCGTGGCACACATCTGCGTTTGGTAAAAAAGAAATCACCCAACATGCAATCAGAGGTGGTATGTGACATGTGTGTAAAGGTTGCCAGGAACCTAAAGAAGGTAAAGCCACTCACGCGTGTAGCAACACGTAAGGCACACGTAAGGCTCACGCTTTCTGTGGAGTCCCACCATCCTCCCCGTCAGGGCCCAACATACTTGGAAACTAAAGAGTGCATCAGTAGGTTGCCACTGACGGTTGCTCATGGTAGATCAATTGGTGGATGGCAGATGATGGTAGGATCAGAGATTGGACTGCGGTAGATCACCTGCGATATTCAACACTGTAAAAGAGGTTGGTGGGCCAATGTCATGACCAATGTTAGGAAAACGTCTCCATCTCCTGAGCATTATCTGGAAGAGGAGTGTGTCGGTAGCTTCATTTCATTCCTCTCCAGTGGGTTGGAGGCTTGTAACTTTCGAACACCTCAATGTCATAGCGCAACTGCCAAATGTCTCCCTGTCTCCAGCTGGCGGATCTTTGAGGGGAACATGGATGCCCCCCAGGTTTGACCCATCGCTGCTACGTCTACGTCCTATCCACCAGCTACGCCGTGGAAAAAAACCCACAGAACCTGAACGCCACTGGGTGGTAGAGGAAGTCTTCGTCTTCCAGTCTGGTCCATGCCATCAGGTTCGGGCCGTGGGCCGGGTTCCCCGGGTGTACGATCGACTTTGCGCGCCGGAGCCGGAAGTCTCATTGACCGATCCGCCAAGTAGCAAGAGCATATCCAGGAGCAGTTCTTGGATCTTCCTGCGTGGACGCCCGCATGATTTGCCGAACAATTTGCATCCAAGTGGACTGGGCCTTTCAGGTGTGCTTCATACCTACCTACCTACCTACCTACCTACCTACCCAAGCTAAAACCAACACGTGCTTCAAGGTAGTGTGGATCATCAGCTGCATACTCCTTGCAAGTTTCATCTTAAAGTGATTGATGTAGGTAGGTGAAAGGGGGTAGAAAAAAAAACAACACAAATGGGACATGCTCTTCGGTGAAGTGGAGGTCCTCCACAGATTCATAGTTGAAAGATCTTGAAAGATTCACTTTGTCTCACTTCTCACATATTCCGAACTCATCATCGCATTTGATGTCATTTGATCTTCCATCTCCCCGTTTTTTGTGCCCCTTGTTTTACGTCTTCGCCCTTTTGATCGGTTCCTGTGCTTGCCCGCGAAGCTCTTGCGGATCTCGTGGCACGAGACCTCGTAGAGGCCGATGACCACGGACTCGGGGATGGAATCCAGAACCTGCCATCGTGCGAACGGGGAAGAAAAGCGGTGTTTTGCCGAGGAATGGGATGGATTGGGCGAGGTTGATGGTGGGAGGTTGGGCAGTCTTGGAAAGAACCACCTAACAGACCTAACACACACAGCAGGTGCCATCAGTCGGGGTGGATGTTGAAGAAAGCAAACACGTGCACTCCCAACGCCTAACAGTTTGTGAATGTTTGTGATAATATCCTTTGAGTGTAGCAACCCGACGAAACACTGGGCTCAAACATCTCTCAGCGGAGGAGAGAAAAGGATGGGATAAATTTGTGCACCAATGGTTCCGATGAGTTCGGGCGTACAGCTGAGCCTTTTGAGCCATTCTCTCAACATCAAGAGGTCGGCTGTACAAACCGACCTGAAACATGTGGATCTTCATGTGGAAATCCTGGTGGTGCCTTTCCAAAGTCCCAGATCCACCCAATCCATCCAGTTCACAAGCATGTGACATGCCTCGAGCTCCTTCTGCTGTTGCTCTAAGATGCATTGTTTCGCTTCTGGCGTGGAGATGTCCCCGTCCACCTGGCCGGTCGCAACCTCCAGTGACTCCGCACTTCGGCACTTCTCCCCACCCGAAAAGGGGGACCCAAGAACCGGATTTGCCGTGCACATCCCGACCTTCCCCCTCATTTGCAGTACACCTCTGGAATCAAACAAACACATTATTGTATTTCTATATATATATATATACTATAAATATATATATATGTATATATATATATAGCACATCATGTGGCTTGTTTCGAGGGATGTGCAAATGCAGTTCTAGCCGTGAAAGCACCGGTCCGCAGGGAAAGACGAAACCTTTCAGAACCTGCTTCAGTTGCGGGCTGGGCACCTGGACATCGCAACCAAAAGATGCCCCAAGGCCCTGGGCTTGTTGGGTGCCTGTGACCTGTGATTTGGGGGGTGGCGAGTTGACATCTCTTCCATTCTGCTTCAGTCTCCCCACTCTCTTCAGTCCATCCTTCAGCCACCGCACCATCGGTTTCTCGTCGACGAAAGTGAGTCGACGAAAGCGTGGTAACACCACGGGTGCCTTGGCTTGAACAAAGTTGGCTGGCTCCAGCTGGAGCAGCTCTTCGTGCCTGGCATGTGCTGAAGAGAGGGGAAATCAATGGTGATTAGACCAGGTGGGGGGGTCTAAACAATGCAACATCAAAAAGGGTTTGTACAACACACTGTTTCGTTTTGTATTCTTTCTGTCCTGTCTTGTCTGTTATATGTTTATATTTATTGTTCAACATAGTATTTTTTTTGACAGGGTGGCCTCGACGATTCAACGAACAACCCCAGCTTGCTGATACGCTACTTTTGTTGCTTTCGCTGAAGACCAAAAATACCGGGAGTCGCCTCCCTTCGCCCAACATGCTTTCAATGTTCCCAGCGTTATTTGTGTGCCTGAATCACTTCCATCTGAGTTCCAGTTTATATCCTGGTACCCTGCCCCTGCCCGGCCAAATCTCCAAATCCTGATCCGGGTTGTCACTTTCCATCGAGGAGCGATGCAAAATGGCCGATGTAGTCCTCCAAGGCTGGAAGGGCCTGGCGGAGAAAGCGGAGGACGGACCCTCCCAAAGGCATCGTTAAAAGCGTTTGGTGGCTATAGCTGATAGCTAGCTTCTTGCGATTTAAAGTTCAATCGCTTCCCCATCCGTGTCTTGGTCTGCACCTTGGCCAACCGGTGACATGGAGGCGATCTAGGTCTTCTTGGGGAAGAACAATCAACAGTAACAACCTAGCCGCGCTGTTCTTCCTCTCTTCAAAGCCGCCTACACCAGTGCGACCTCATAGCAGTCCTCGCACTCCAAACAAGAAGCATTCGGGACCATTGATAGAAGGAACACTTGGGAGTTCACCCACTCTTTCTCGCTCAGACTTTGCGATTGCAGTCAAGCCCGAACCCCATGAATTGAAACAGCGATGAGCTGTGCGACTCAGACCCAAAAAAAACGGATCGGGTCTCTTCGTGTGCTAGGTGACGATGCGGTCATGCATGGTTCCAGTGCCAGGCAGCGAAGAAGCACTTGTTTATCTTTTTTCTCCCAGCCAGGGTGCCATCAAAGACGTTTGTGCTTCCTCGGTGAGAAGGTCCTGTATCGATGATCGAAGACCAACATCCAGCTGGGCCAGCTGGAAAAGCATGTGACAGGACGGATATAGTAATATTATGATATGTGATGGTATTTGACTTGGGGTTCCCCCTTCTGACTATTTCATGATATTTACAGCACATACCTCTTCAAAGGAGAGGGTTGTTGGGCCCTGAGAGGTTCTCAATTGATGATCTGTTATGCATGAAGGCGGTTTTTGGCCCCACACGCCGTCATGTTCAGCGTTCGTGGTCCACGGCCCTCAAGCACACAGGACCCAAAAGAAAACATCTTCATCTTCTCATCTACCGCAGGAGTCTCTTCTGAATCACCGATCAATTCTGGGCCTGCTGGGGCCAATAGAGCTCACCAGCTTCTAGAATCCTAGAAAATGGCAAGAAACATAACAATCTGCATGGGGCTGGTTGTTGAAGATGTGTATCATGGTTTATCTGTCATGAGCAAGGTTTCATGCTTTTGCAACATCTCTGATGTCCTTGCAGCGGTCTTGGAGGCCATTGAGCTCGCAAAAGACTTCAAAGTAGTTTACCTCGGACACTCATCTTCACTCAGCGGTTCTACTCGGTTCACTCAGCGCCCAGTTCAGCTGCATATCCTGTGGTGCACAGCTGGTGCCGGCAGCCAAGTGAAGCGTTTTGGATGTGGACTCAGCACATTGCATATGGCATATATGTATAGTATACTGAGTATATGTCTATGTTTACTGACAGTTGCAGGTACCAACATATGTACCTAAACTCACTCTTTCTACCTGAAGCTATGCCCGAAAATGCCCTACTACACCCGGTTCCAGAAGGTGAATGTGCAACCGAGCGGTGCCAAGGCACATGGAGGATGTCCGCCACCGTTGGGCCAGACAGCGATTTCACCTCGTCGCCCGGTCGCACTCACTGAAGGTTTCCCTGGTGCACCCTGAAGGTTTCCGGCTGAAGGTTGAACCATGCCCAAATTCAACCATGATTGGAATGATTGGATTGGGCCGGGCACAACCTTTGCACAGATGGGGCTCCGGAAAAGACAGCAATCAATGTCTTGAGCACCGTCGTTGAGCACCTTCGAGTGAAGGGGCTCCGCACGAAGAAGAACAGTGCCGCGTCCAGTGGATCCAATTCGGTCATTCTGATACCGAAAACAACGCTACAACACGTAGCAACTCCAGGATCCATTTGGTATATGGACTAGCTATGTCCACGCTTTCGGGATGAATGTTGAGGATCCAAAGCCCACGGTCAAATCGAAATAGCAGTGCCAAAGTCCCCCTACCGGCTGCAGCGCAAGGAGCCCCGTTGAAGGACAAAATGAACTTGCCTGCAGCCAGTGGAAGCAAATCGGTCAATCTGCCCTGGAAGCGGCCATGCCATCCAATATATAACTATTTCAACAATTGTAAGATCTGCAGAGTAATATGGAAACTCCCTTCTCCATTGCCTTTGTGGAAATCGGCCAATCAAAGTGGCCAAAGCCGCCTCCAGGGGCGAGTGGACCCCCAAAATCCCCAATCTTAGTGATCAAACAATATCAAACACGGGCTCAATATTTGAAGGAACAAACCGAAATACTGCCCTGAATCCCTGAATCCTTCCATGCCAAATGACTTCCATGGGCGTCGCCATGCGTGTGCCACTATGTGCGCACCCAGCGCGCGCACTCACCCGGTCGCGGTCCCCCGGCCTGGCTCCCAAGTTTCCCCCACCATACGGGAGGAGATGGGATGGTAGGAATTCCTGAGATGGTAGGAACCATCGAATGACCCATCCCGCCAGGTCCATACTGCCTACTGCCACTGAGGCGGAGAAGGGTTTCTTTCTTCGAGTTCTGAGTACGTCCTTTGCTCAACAAATTGGATCCAAAACTGGGGGGCCAGGGAAACCCATCATGGCACCTTCAGGAATGGCTTTGGAAGATGAACGGCACTTAGAATTGGATAACTCACATTACTCACATTCCATGTCCAGGTGCCTCGCATTGGCACCACGGTCAAGCCTACTTTGGAGATCCTCTTCACACTGCCAAGTGTCCTCTGAAAAATGCATCACCATCATGACTTTTTGCACCATGGTATGGTCTGGTTGATTGTATGGTTGATGGTATTCATGGAACTAGCGCGTGTTTTGGTGCTAATAGTCGATGTCTTTTCACACCGGTGTTTTTCAACACAACTTCAACACACCTAGTTGCTGAAAACACCGACCCCATCCAAGCTCCACCACTCTCATGATTTCAAGCATTTCTATCTCGGCTGTGGCTCATCTCTGCTTGTGGCACAATGCGCACTTGGGATGGATAGGCCCGCAGATCGCCTGGAGACGTCCATTGGCGGCGTCTGTTGGGGGGGTGAAGTAAAAGGACGCCAAAGGGAAAGCAAATAGGAAACGAACGGGAACAATGCTAACATCAAGAGAACCTTTGGTGTCCAAGACCAGGGAGGAGAAAAGGTTCCAAAATCCGTACTGCATGCGTTCAATGTGCTTCAATGGTTTCATAGTCATCGAACACAGTTCATGACAAAAAAAAACATGTGATGGTGACGATGAAACTACAAGGTAGCAACGACGTCACGTCACAAGGTGATTACGAGGCAGCAACCAGGTAACAACAAGGTGACATGACTGCGAATCGAGTGTCGTCACAGTGTCAGTGGGCCTACTTTGGGTGTCTAAAGTAGAGTCTAGGACGTGTCAAGCAAGCCTCCCTATCGAGTTCCAACGCGTATACATACTGCATGATTGACTAGATGTTCATAAGCCTGACTTCGCGTATCAAAAGTAGAGTCTATAGTCATTGATTGCTCTCATTCCATCCGGAACCGCAAAGAAAAATCGCCTGACGTGCCGAGCAAGTCTGCTTTGCTGGCAGTGTAGCGGACGGGGGCAGCGTGGTGGACCAACCCACCAAGCAAATGTTGTGCAAAGGCCTCACCGAGCAGCGTCTGCCGTCTGGCCATGTCTGCCCCCAGTGCTGCGTCCCCCTTCTTCATGCATATGATATACAGTTCGGCATGGTCCACATGGCTTAAATACACGCAGGTCCCTACAATCTGAGGAGACTCCCAGGTGATCTATGACGCAAAGCACTTTGGTGATGAAACAATCTGACAAACCCTGTTCACCTCATCCCACACTCAGCAGGACGAGCAAACCTGGCGTGGCGCTCGTGTGGCGCTCGCGTGGCGCTCGCGTGGCGCTCGCGCCGCGTGCCTGCTGTTCCCACCAGGTGTGGTCAATGAAAGGCGAGCCGTTCGCATCCCAAACCTTTTGGGCCCGGTCTCTCTCTCTCTCTCTCTCTCTGCCTCATGTTGCTTCATGTGGTTGGTCCCTTCTAGAACCATGCGATTTTCTGCATTTACGGTGGTTTCAAAGTAGATGGCACTGAAACCCCAAGATGTCTTTTTGGATGGGGGTTCCATATAATATAAACCACCAAACTTGGGGTAACTTGTGCCATCTACTGTACTTGGCTTGGTCACCTTCAAACGCATAGACCTTCCCCCATCTCATTGCTGTACGATCCCAAAATAACCCAGATAGTTTGACCCAATGCCGCTGCCAAGTCGCGCTCTCCAAAAGCTGCTTGCTCCAGTCAGTTCGCTTTAAGAAGAAAATCGCCGTGTTCAGCGTCTGAGCATCTTCAGAAATGAGCATGCTCACCTGGAAAAAGGTGCATCTTCATAACGCGCAGCGACCACAGCTGGAAGGGGCAGGAATCACCCTTCTTTGGTTCAACGATCAGAGCAGGGCGAAGCGGTCAAAGGTTTTGGCAAGCCAGAACTTCTTGGAACATCCCAACGACCTGTGCCTTGATCACCCAGAAAGATCCTTTTGCAGGACCCACTCCCTCCATCAAGCCCAAGTCACCTCTGGTGCATCAGAGTGTCGGAGCCAAATCGACTCCAATGTCTTGTTGAGGTTCATGAAGTACAAGTCCTTAACTGGAACCATGAAGCACATCTGATGTAGATTCATTCAATATAACGTATATAGTGTGTAATCCTGATTCCCAATTCAACTAAAGTCGAAACAGCCCTCAACAGCCCTCGAGAACCGATCATACCAAGAAAGAACGCAGCAACGGATTACCACTGGATTGCTGTCACATATGGCTGTCACATGCCCGTTTTCATGCAAAAGCCTGCTGGGAGCAAGAAATCTGCATTTGTTCAACTCCAGACTCCAGGAACAGTTTTCTGTGAATAATATTATAAAGCTTTGGAACATGACTATGTACAATATATATATATATATACATATCCCCATTACAATTTCCCTCAGGGCCTTATGACCCCTTCCAACCCATCTATAAGGGCCTTAAGGCCACCCATTTCATAGTGGAAATGGCAATGAGGGTCAATATAAATATATATCCCACCATACCCCACCCATGAGGACCCATCCTGGCATTTCACGAAGTTCTGGTACATGACATCGCTTTTCACTGACAGGACCGATGTCTAACATGTCAAAAAGGCGGGAGACGTGAAAGCTGCCATACAGCCAGCCAGACGTGATGGCCGTAGGCCATGGATGGCCATGGTCCCAATCCGTCGATGGTGGCCCCGATCCTTCAATCCAAGTGGCACAATCGACCCAAACCACCCAGTCCCAGCGTCCATCCTCCAAAGCCTCTCGCATTGCAGCCACCTTCCCCCAAGCAGCTGGGCGCCCACTTGCATGCCGCGCATCACGGTAGTGCAGATATGCATAGCCATTCCTCAAGCTTTGCATCCAAAAGCTTTGATCCTCTTTGATCCTAAAGATATATATATATATCTTATATCTTCCTCTAACTCTAACGGGTGATCAAAAAGAAACTTCTGCCCTCATTGTCATTGTGTGCACGCTGTTGGGACACCACAACATGTGTTCGGTTGGGACACCACAACATCCGTCATCCGTCTGCCACTTGGGTCAGCTTTTGATGCCATAAGCAAGGCAAAAGAAACCACTCGTTCGTCCAAACATGCAGTCAAAAGTAAAACAATGTAAAACATCGCCCGTTGTTTGCTTGCACCAGCTGTCCATCGAGACGGTCAAGTCTGACAAATGAAGCCTGTAGACACATGTCCGTTTCTCCTTTAGGAAGGACTGCATCGAGTCCGATCATATCTACCCTGAAGGCTAGATTTGGAGGGCGTGTGGAGAAAGGGGGTCAGCTAGTTGGTGCATCAAAAATTAACTTCCACCAGCGAAGTTTCTGGCCTTTTTAACGGTGATATAAGGTTTTTCCCACGTGGCCCACCCCAGGAACCGTCCACGAACAGCCCCCGGGTTCCGCACATGTCCCGGGCCCGGGCCTTCCAATGGGTTTGCCTCTGATACCCAGTTGCGACCAAGAAAACCACACCACCTTTCAGCCATGATGCTTTTGGGCATAGATCCCATGCACAAACGCTGCCCACCGCGGCAGTTGCGACGCCTCAGGGTAGTCGCAGATCGTCACCAGCGCCAAGCGCGGCGAGTTCCTCGCCGCATTCCGCCGCGAACTCGCTGCGTCGTCCGCGTTCCGCGCGGAACTCGCCCGCAGCTCGGAGAGAAGCTGCGCCACCGAACGGTGCTCATCGCCGAAGGTGCCTGAAGTGATGGGCCACAGGGATTCATCAATGAAGGAGTCCCGATGGTCAGCCGGCCCATTGTAGGCATAGATCAGCCATCCGGCTGCCAAATGTTGCAAGCACAACGCGACCTCCAAAGCCTGGATCTGCACATGGCGTGAAGCTTCTCGGACTGCAGGATCTCCATAGTGTGCCATGGCGCTGAGCCGTAGCGCCGCCGCGATACCCACGGGGCACTCGTCCAGTGCATGGCGCAGGTGAAGGGCTTCGCCGGCGTCAGGGCCCAAGAAGTGCTGCAAAGCCTCGCTCAAGTGCAGCCGGACTTCGGCAGCTTGGCCGACCTTGGAGAACTGGTTTCAAGGAGTTCCAGGGGTATCAAGATGGGTAAGCAAGATTCTAAGATGAATAAAGATGGACAGTCCCTATACTGGTCCCTACTGATTACAATTAGATCTTGACAATATATGCATGCATGTGTATATATATATATATATATGCGTCGGTTTCATGCGGTGTTTCTGGGTGTTGCTGCAGCCACCCCCACAATAATGGATGAACACCAACTCCTCTGAGCAGGACTTCCCAGGCACAGTCAGAAGTTCTTGTGCCTCCGTCAGCTGACCGAGCAGGTCTTCCCAAGAGCTGGGGCACCGCAAGGGCGTCTGGTGAAAGTCCAAGGGCACACTTGCCACGAGCACCGCGCTCGCCACGAGCACCGCCAGTCCCGCAGTTGGCGAAGCGAAGGACGCCATGGCCGCGCTTCCCGCCATGGCGGCGAAGGACACGAAGCCAGTCCCATCATGGTCCTGCTAGGGAGAATCGGATCTGAGTATGTCGGTGCCAGCTACGTGCAAGTGTAAACATGAAAAAGGCTAGTATCTATAGCCGCCATCAAATTAAATTGGCTGCTTGGGTTTGGGAAGACCGAACTTGACAAAGATTCCACACCAAGTGCCCGAGTTCCATGTGCATCTTCCCGACCAGCCCCAAAGAAGCCATCGCAACTTGAGGCGAAGCACCAATCTAAACGTGTGCCCTTTGGAACTCCAATTCCCGTGACCAACCGGAGGAAAACGTTGAAACATGTTCAAACAGGAACCGCTTCAGTTTTTTTTGTCATTTTTTGTCAACTAAGTTTCTCACTGATTTCTCACTGCGAGCTTTGAGGGATTTAAACATGAGTTAAGTTATTATGAGTTATATTGATTTAAAGCAGAGCTTCTGTAAGCATCCTGTCCCCCTTAACCACCACCACCACCACCACCACCACCACCATCCACAGCCACCACCCACCACCACCCAATTGTTCGGCCCAAGAATACGGGGGCCCCACGAGCTGCTCCCGATGCAGCACGGGGCCTTTCGGAGGTGTTGCAACATGGCCGCCTTCCGTGCCTGGCGAAACGGAACCCGAGCGAAGGGTCCTCCTCACCTCTCTCAACACCTGTCCCAAAATGAGTTCCAATATGCAATATACCTGGAGAAGCAAGAACCCCAAAACATACCATGGCTTTAGTCAAGTAGAGCCCAAACATGGTGTTTTCCATCAAACACGACAAATTTGCATAGGTTTGGGGTTCCATAGGCTGCCGAGTAACTGCCCAAAAATCATATCCACCCCCGGCCAATAGGATACACCTGTTGCTGACGCATGGCCGAACAGAAATCACTTCGCTGCCCAGCCCCGCAGGGGGGGAAGCGAAGAAGATCCGAGGATCTGATGTTTGGCATTTGGCCAAAGTCACTATAAGTGATATCATGGCTGTGTGGTTTTCAAACCAGGATGCCTAGTCTACCTGGAAGGTCAACCTACATGGTGCATCAGGGCTTCCGTTTACTCATCCCTTATACGATCTTCCTCGCCTTCACGAAGGGCGTGGGCGCCCCTTCATCCCGAGGTGTTTGGACGTCGATGGTGTTCAACACCTGCACGTCGATGGTGTTCGCCCCGGCACGTGTTCGGCCACCTCAAGTGTTGGGTCATAGGGGCACCTTGCAGGTTGGAATTGACATCAAACCCAAAAAGTCAAGCAGAACATTGAGTTCCCTCCAGTCAAAGCAAACTCAAGACACCTAACCTCATGCTATCAAGATAGACGAGTTCCCTCCATGTTCTTTGGAGAGGAATGGAATACGTTGCATGTCTGTTCTGCGTTCCGTGCGCGGAAACGGATGGCGCCCAGACCAGTCGCTTTTCTGTGTAGCACACACCATGGTCGACCAGCACCGCCTGGTCATCACATCTACATGCAAAAACTATGACCATACTGACCATACTGATAGAAATATATATATATATATTTAAAAACATGATAGTGATGATATGTGATGACAGTGCCTATAGTCTGAATATGATGTATATTCAGATATATTCAGCATATGACATGTAGAACATGATCTTCAGTAGCCTCATCTCACCACACTATAGGTGTCCCAACTCCAATTCCCGGGACGTTCCCCCTTCTCCTATCGATCCGTCGCGTCAAATAGTCGCCTCACCGAACCCCAACGGATGTTCGTCCAGTCGTGCCTGCTTCACCACGACCGTCTTGAAGAGCTGTGGCACGATTTGGGGTTCCACCTCCAGACCCAGTCGGAGTGGCCGAAACGTGGGCGCCACAAGCACGCGCAACGAAGGCACCACGACGCAGGCACGGTCCAAAGGTCCAGAAGCAACGGAAAAGCGGCCCGGTTTAGAAGACAAACGCCTGGAAAAAACCTTCTGCCGGTCCTCTGAGGAGCAAGGGGTGCCAAGTGATCTATATATTATCGATACCAATACTATCGATCTAATCTACGTTCATATGAATTGCAGCCGCATAGAGGTGGGAGACTTACCTGCACGAAGGCTAATCAAGTCCATGTTTGCAAAGAGTTTTGGTAGAGAGAACAAAGAACATGAAACATGATGAGAAATGGTCACACGGCAAATCACTTGCTCACTTGCTCTGGCGCCTGCGGAATGTCTCCGAGTGACATCATGCCTCAGGATCAGGTCGGCACTCAGGTCCTGAAACTTCAGGGGGGGTATCCTCCTAGTCCATTCCACTGCTGACCCTAGCTACTTCAGTGTCCATTTTTTCCCCAGAAACTGAAACAGGTTTTCCATGGGATAGAACCCCATTCATAAATAAAAGGCTAGCTACTAGGCTAGCTGGGCGAGCAACCAACTGACATGGCCTTCTGACAGCGTCGGTTCAATTCCAAGTTCAAGTTGGGTAAAGTTCTCCCCAAGTGAAATTCTTCACAAAGCACACAGCTGCGGACGGCCTTTTCTCTGGCCCTACAACTTCAAACGTTAGACAAGTCTTGCACTTAAACAAGGATCTAGGCCAGCTAGGCACAAAAATGCTAGGCCAGCTGCCAGCTAGGCACCAAAAAGTCTCCAAATACAGCAAACGAATGCTCTTTCCAATCTAGCCTTGGCGGTTTTCCTCCAGGTCTTCTCAGTTCAATAGCGCGTTCGTTACTAGGGGATCATCGCAAGGAAATGAAGGTTTGGGCAACCAGCAAGGCCAAATCCACAATTTCTACAGTCGAACCTTCAAAATTCCGAGGGGCATTGTGGATTCACTGGCGTTCCATCAAGCTAGCCGGGCTATTGATCTAATATACACCGGGAAAACACTTAAACAAATCTCCTACAGCGAACGCCTCAGAAATGGCTCTATTGATCGTATTGAACTTATTGAGGGATTTGAAGTCTCAAATGCCAAGCCGCCCATATCGAGGATCTCAGCACAAAGCTCTATGGCTGCCTCACCTCAGTAGATGGGGAGAAAACCAAATCCATGGTTCCCAGAAATAGGTACCCAAACCCAGCCTATGTGCCTATCCGGTCTTCAAGTGATGCAATGGATATTGTTTAGATTTGTTTGGTATTTTTGACAATTGCCATTCTAAGTAAAAGGAAAACATAAGGTCTCTCCCAAGGATTCATTCAACATCATAAAGAGGAAACACACCTCACTTGAGCAGCCATGAGGACGAATCTAGCAAATACTAACTGAGAGGAGGCGAGATGTTTTTGTTGATAAACTCCTCACTAGCTGCATGATGGGCTACGGCTAAGTACCTCTTTCCGAATCAAACACTTGGCTAGCAACACAAAACGAGCGAAGTGACATTAAATGTCAGAACTTACGTGAGACCTGATGCTTCTGCCTGTGTGTTTGCACACTCACGGCGGGAAAAACAACATCCCACGACCCAAAACCTAACGCCGTGTGCTGGGTACTTATGATCTCTTACCTTGTATCTATTGCAAGGGCGCCAAGCGGGTACTCATCGACCATATTTGGGTGGTGCAATCTGTTCACCTGGATGCTGGTTGGGCCCTCGAGCGGCCCGGGAGAGTCAAGTAAACCTCCCACGAACCAATCAAATCACCTCTCTCAACTGGCATCCGCACTGCTGGTGGAATACACGAAGGTTTTCTCCTCGTCAGGTCTTCATATTAAACAGGGACTGGGGCAGTAGGAACCACTGGGCGGTCGGCGGTCGCCCAGTGGCCAAGCTGTGGCGCAGCTCAAAACAGGTGATGTTGGACAAATAAAATAGCAAAACTTAAATTTGGCTTCCTCCTCTCTGTGTCTTTTTGCATTGCATATCACTTGCGCATGTCTCTTGTTTTTTTGCCTTGCATTGTATCTGTGGATTGCAGCTGCCCTTCAAACAAGCACATGGTTCCCTCCATTTCATGCCCAACGCAGGAAGGTGAAGCACAACAACTGCGAAGCTCAGCAGCAAGGACCACAGCTCCCCGGTTGTGCACACTGCCATGATTCTGCAAGAATTTGATGTATTGGACGCCCGAGGCTTGAATCAAGTCTGCCGGGCTGCGACAACAACAACAACAACAACAACAACAACAACAACAACAACAACTACTACTACTACTACTACTACTACTATCAAACCAACCCCCAAGCTCTTAGGCCACAGGTTCTCCAATGACTGAGGGTTCTCCCTCTCCTCGGAAATCTTGATCTCCAGCAGGAAGAGTGCGGAGCCCGGCAGCAAGTCCACACTGTCATCATCCCGACTGGGCAGAAACGGAGCTCGGCTGAGCGGCTCGGACTTCGACCGAACAGCCAGGACATCCCTTCGACCGCACATCCACCGAACTGGGATCCAGTGTGACCGAACCGACGGGATCAAGTTAGGTAAGTTAGAAGAACCAGGGAGAATGCGTTTGTTGATGTTTGAGTTCAATTCGACTTTAAAGAGAGGTGTTCAGGATCGAAGCTGAGTCTATGGAACATTAAATACCACCCCTAAGCCCATGCGGCCGACACTGCGAAATCGCATTCCCACTGCTAGCATGGTCTCATGAACATCAATATGAATCCTGGCTCATCCTGGTTCCAAAGGTTGCAGAAGGTGACCAACGTCCTTGACCTCCTCCGAGGGCTTTTCTTCAAGCCGCCGTATTCCAATCCTCTCCTCATTGCCCTGTTCAACCCGCAACCCGCACGGCCCGGGTCTGCCGACTCACCACCATAGAAGGCAGTGCCCGGGCGTCCTGGAAAAAGCAAAAACCGTTTGGCCCCCGCCAGTCCGCCGTGCCGCGTGTGTTGAATCGAAATCGAAGGGAACTGCTGTGGGGCTCCGTCTTCCGCAAAGGACTCAGCAAGATTCCGGGTTCACCACTGGTGTGGTCTTCAGAATGCAAACTGACCAAGAACAACAGAACAGCTCCAGAGTTGGCAGTCGGTGCGATGTGTTACATGTTGTGGGAGTCTCACGTTGAAACCATTCCCGCACTGGCCCCCCGCAAGTTTCCTCCCACAATCTAGAAACCAACATGAAAGTGCCCCTACCGTCTTTAGGGTGGCGGTGCTTGAAGAAGCCTGAGCTTTCCTGCGTCCTGGGTAGTAGCTACTTAGGGCCATTCATTTTTTCATATTAATTACCCCTTACTACTTAGTAGCTATACTGAGTATCCCTAAGCCCCAGGCAGGTTTCCACCCTACTTACTACTTTAATTCCTTGCCCTTAGGTTTTTCCTGGTTTCGGCCGGGCATTTCGGTCCGGCCCCGTCCGGCGCTCCTGGAGGGATCAGCTGCAGTGAGCCCCCACTCTTCGCCGCTTTGGGCCGAGGACGCTCCACGAACTCACTGGTGACCTGCGGCCGGTGACCACGACCGCGCGCGCGCGGCGAGACGGAGCCCGCCGCCGTTCGCCCTTTGCTGCTGACCGATGCTGACGCCCCGTGTTTTTGAGACGGAGCCCGTGTCGGCCAGGTCAAATACCCTCAGGTCAGGGTTTGGAGGCAGAAATCGAAGCTTTCCAGTTTGGAGGTGGAGGATTTCTTTCTGAGGGGGTTCTGGGGCTCAAGAAAGGCCCCTGATGGGCAGTTTGGGACACACCGGGTAGCCCAGTGGGGAAAAACACGCTAGAGCCTTTCATGGCGTCTGTCTATCCAGTAGATCCGAAGCGTGTTTTAAGTGAAGAGCTGTTAAACATGGTGCACCTACTTGAGGCCAGAGGGGGTGAACGAAAGCTGAGCGACGTGGCAAAGCGTGTCCGTGAGTGATTGCACGCTGGTACGCTGGTACGCTGGCGGTGGCTAGCTGCGCTGATGACGCTGGTTACGCTGGTTACGCTGATTACGCTGGTTACGCCGATTACGCTGGTTACGCTGGTTACGCTGATTACACTGCTTACGCTGGCTACACCGATTACGCTGGTTACGCTGATTACGCCGATTACGCTGGTTACGCTGGTTACACTGGTTCCGATTACGCCGGTTACGCCGATTACGCTGGTTACGCTGGTTACGCTGGATACGCTGGTTACGCTGGTTACGCCGATTGCGCGGATTACGCCGATTACGCTGGTTACCCTGGTTACGCTGGTTACGCTGATTACGCTGATTACGCCGGTTACGCCGGTTACGCCGGTTACACTGGTTACGCTGGTTACGCTGGATACGCTGGTTACGCTGGTTACGCCGATTACGCTGGTTACGCTGGTTACGCTGGTTACGCTGCTTACGCTGGTTACGCTGGTTACACTGGTTACGCTGCTTACGCTGCTTACGCTGCTTACGCTGATTACGGTGTAGACGGTGTAAACGGTGTAAAGGGTGTAGACGGTGTGAGACGGTGTAGACGGTGTGAGACGGTGTGAGACGGTGTAGACGGTGTGAGACGGTGTAGACGGTGTAAACGCGTAGACGGTGTAAACAGTGCAAACGGTGTAGACGGTGTAGACGGTGTAAACGGTGTAGACGGTGTACACGGTGTAAACGGTGTAGACGGTGTACACGGTGTAAACGGTGTAAACGGTGTAGACGGTGTAAACGGTGTAAACGGTGTAGACGGTGTAAACGGTGTAAACGGTGTAGACGGCGTAAACGGTGTAAACGGTGTAGACTGTGTAAATGGTGTAGACGGTGTACACGGTGTAAACGGTGTAGACGGTGTAAACGGTGTACCGAAAAATCGTGGACACTGATTGCGCCAGCAATGCGAAGAGCGACGTGGCACGAAAGCTAGCCGGGCTTCCGGTGGTCTGCTGCTGGTGCTGCTGCTGCTGGTGCTGCTGCTGCCGCTGCTGCGCTGGGCGCTGCTGCGCTGGGTGCTCTGCAGGCGCCGGGTCGTCTGCTGCTGCTGGCGCTGGGTGGTCTGCTGCGGCTGCTGCTGCCGCGGCGTTGGGTATGCTGCTGCTGCTGCTGCCGCCGCTGGGTGGTCTGCTGCTGCTGCTGGTGCTGCTGCTGCTGCTGCCGCTGCTGCGCTGGGCGCTGCAGATGCTTGGTGTGCTGCAGCTGCTTGGTGGTCCCGCTCACCGCGCGCAGGGGGGGAGTCGAACCGCGGGGGGGGGGGTCCATAAGATTGATTTAATCAATTATTTGAGGTTTCTGAGGTGCGTCCACCCCGTCACTTAACTTGCTAAAGCAAGAGCAACTCCAGCTAGCTAAGGCTAGCTTTCGTGACAAACAATGGTTTCAGAGTACACGGTACAATCTGCGAGTTTGGTGGTTTAAGTGGAACCCCCTATCTAAAGACATCTTGGGGTGCCAGCGCCGTCTACTCTCAATCCACTATAAGCCCTTTCAATCTCCACATACAGCAACTATAGCCATCGAGTGACCCTCCGAGGACATCACATGGAAGTGGGAAACGGATGAACAATTGTCTTTGCGAAGGCAACCTTCGCAAACCGGGGCGGTTTGTACTTCCATGTGTTCATCGGAGTGTGGGTGACCCAAATCAACATACCCAGCACCTGGGGTTTTCCAATGCCGCCGCAGCGGTGGCCTTGGTAAGATCATGCACCACCACGCGTTCAGGAGCCAGGTCCTGCCAAGGCTTGTTGGTTTGAGAAGGGCACACCCGCAGCATCCCCACGGGACAGCGAATCGCCTGCAATGGGGGTCAGTTCTATGTGGATCAATGCCCTGCAGGTGGGCTTCTGGTTGTTGAGAGTGAACACTAATGATTGAAAGCATCTACACTCCCCGGAATAATCATGGTTAAGGAATGGCCCCCTTGGATGACCTTTGTCCTCTACACTGCAATTGTTTGCTCCACTTCCATGATGGTTCCAGGGAATGTGACAGCAAAAATCCTTCATGACATGTGGAGATGAATCGCTCGTTTTGCAGCTGGTCAGCTTCAGGCAGCACCAATTGATGCATCAGGAGACACAACTGCGTCTTCCTAATCCAGCAAGCCTTCTGGTAGGATTCTTGAGGTGCGCTGGAAGCAAGGTTCCTCCCTGCCCGAACCTTGTACATATCCAATTGCTACCAACAGTGGATGATGAGGAATGATGAATGGTTCATGTGGACCTTTACCATACAAATTGCACAGTAAACCAAAAATCCATAAACACCTACAAAAGCCAGCATGGCTATTTAATTAAGGACGCCTTTCCTCGGACCTTTCACCCAAAATACCCTGATGAACCAACTGACCTGCTTGTGATTCCAACCGCGAAACACCCCTACCCTGCATCGGATCCTCAAGCCCATGGCAGTAGTCGTCCACCGAATCCAAAGCCTCAGCGTGGAGAACCGAGCGGGTGAGCGGGGAGTGGTTGAGCAGCTCCTTCTCTTTTTGATGCGACAAAATGACCTCAGGGGGGTGGCTTTCATCCCAAATCATGTCTTGCTTCAGCGTCCAGTCTAGGAGTTGCACCCCAAAAAGCTGGTACCTTGACAAAAACATTGTCTTTTGGGAGGGTCAGCTACATAAGTCATCAATGTCAATTGCCTAATAGTAGAATTTATATCATTATTTCATTATGAAAGAAATAATTATGAACACACATGACATATATATGAAAACATAATTCATGCAAAAAGTATGTGTCATACGCAATATTTATAATATACAAATAGATACCATGATCCTGTCCGAATCCATTGAACCAGCTCTCTTCGATGTATCCGAATCCACCGATGTCCAATCCAAGACGTCGGACGTGCGGAAGGTTCCTGGGGCCTCCTGACGAAGAACTCCAAGGAATCCTGCATCATATTCTTCACCACGGCCTGTGTGCCCAAAGCCGGACTGCTGGAGAGGTAGACAGGTGGAGAGCGCATCAAGCACCGTTTTGGGCGGATTTTTCGGCACATTGAGGAAAGGGCGGTGGATGATCCTTCAGAATTGGTTCGACTTATATCTATGGGTCTCATCTCAAACCGGCTTAGCTTGTTAGAGATCTCTATGACTCGATCTAATTATGTAATTCGGCCAACACTCTCGTGAACTATCACAGGAGCCGTGTCGAGGAACATCATGCAGCTGTTGAAACCCTGCCACCCTGCACTGCCCATTCGATGGGCGAGTTGCGTTGCCCATCGGAACCGGCGCGACCCCACGGGCGACGCGGTCCATTGGCGAAAGTAAAGCCGGAGCAACCATCTGGACAAACAGCTCAAAAGGGCTTCAAGTAAACCTCTAGCACTCTAGCCACGGCGTGAGACATGCGGAAAAAAGAACTGGGCTCACTTAGGTAAGCTGTGATTGCTCTCTTCAAAACCCGCCAGTGAGTAGAGCGTGCCGTTCTACGGGACGTGTAGAGCGCTACACCTGAAAAAGATCGGTTCCCTCCAACGGATTCGGAATTGGTTGGACTTGACTGATCGGTTTCAGCGACGAGGCTTGACTGGAATGGGAGGTCTCTGGAGGTCTCAATGTCTTCAGACACGACGATTCACCAAGAAAACGGACACACACACATTCTGTGTCAAGGTGAGTCAGCCTCTGTGGTGACTATATGTTGATGACCTTCTAGGGTGTCACGAGGTGTGAGTCAGCCTCTATGATGTTGATGATCTTCTTGAGGTGATCAAGCAGCGGCAATTCGTTGCCCACGAGGCAATAGACTTACTGATCGTCTTAATATTGTTTTAGAAGAAAAGCATCATCCGGACACCCAAACGACCGGACACCTCCCGTGATATCTGAGTCTCCGAGCTAAGAGTTTCTTCAGTTTTCCTTGTCGATATGTATCCTGGTTCGTCTCGTGGATCGAGAACCAGCCTCACAGATGGACCAAAGCGGTGTGCCGAGAGGATCGATCCGATAGCTGAGGGGAACTGCTGGACAATTGCATGCCTTTTCAGGCCCGGCGTCCAGGACCCTTTTAATCTATAGACCTGGCGCATGGCGGTCCTTTGAGCAGTGCAGGGTTGTTCAGCCAGTTTGAGGTGCCACCAAGAGACCTTTGCCAACATCCCGAAAGTTGTTCAGGATGATCTTCTGAATGTTCACCACCTCAGTGCCGTGAGACAGCTCTCGGGTGCCGTCTGCCGTGAGACAGCTCTCGGGTGCTCCGGATGGAAGCCAAACCCGTCGACCACCACACCGCCCTGCGGCTAAGCATCTGTCTGCCTACTGTAGCGAGACGTGGGCCCCCAGGAACCGAAGAAATCAGCAAACCACGGAGTCCGGGTGTCCATTAACAGCCCCTTAGATGTCAAGGGGTGTCCATGAACCACCCCGACTGGGGGTCCAGGATGTTGACCTGTAATATCAAGTCAGGTCTCCAACAAATGCATCCTCCAACAGGTCTCCTCGTTCTTCCTACCTGTATCATCATTGCAAACTTGTAAACCAATCACGGCCTCAGCCAACATGTTGACGTGTTGCCCTAGAAGAAACACGGCCTTCGCTCACCTCTGCCTGCCCAGTGGTCCGTTCTCTGTCTGTGGGCCCCTGCCCAGTGGTCTCGGATGTACTGTGCCATCGAGGTGATGGCCTCGGACGAGAGGGAGCGAAGCACGTGGTCTCCACGTGGAGTCGAAGACATGTGAACCTAATAGGTTGCTGTAATGAACCAAATGCAATCCTAGGTATGTCGACAGGTCCTGTTTGTAAAAGACGACCCCGAACCCCTGTGGCGAGGGTGCAGAACCGGTTCACTCGGGGTTGCCCTGAAAACATGTTTCAGGGATTTTCAGGGTTTCTACAGGTTCCCGTATGGGTATTTCTTGTGGCGGCCTTGCCACCTAGTGGCGTTCAACACTTTGCGAGCCTAGCTGGCACTTGGTAGAAACACTTATCTGTAGCTCCCTCTCTCTCTCTCTCTTTCCATTGCCGTCTGTTAGTTAGTTCAACTAAGCTAAAGGCAAGCAAGCGCTCCAGCTATATGAACCAGCCAGCTCTGCAGCCAGCAGCTTCATTCGCTGAAACCACATCAAAGGTCATCTTGGTTCTGTGGCTGTGGTGTGTGGGGGTGTTCTTGCCACACTGCCGCCTGTGGCATAGATATTGCCTTGGTTCTGGTGGCCAGAAGTGTTTACGACATGTTTAGACCAAACCACGCATGTACATGCGTACAGTATGTACATGCGTAGATCTTGAAGAAAACCACTTCTGCCACATGCTGTTTTCCCTAAACAGTATGCACAACAGCTGTGCATCCACAGCACAGCCGCGGAACACCTCCCTCACCCGCCGAACCTCTGAGCATCCCCCAACGGATCTCTGGATCTGTCGGAACTGTTCCGGCTTCATCAACCTCGGGTCGCGCAGCTGGTAGACGGTCAATTCTGGTGGTCGTTGGCAGCTGGAGAGGTCGATCTCCAAAGGGGTTTTCTGGGTTTTCTGCTCCCCAAAGTGGGGAGCCGGGACCCCAGGGCATCTTGCAAAATGCATCATGGGGCTAAGTTGTTCGGACACTTTCACAAGAAGAATCAAAAACATCAAAGCGCACGACCCAAACTCCTGAATCCTCGTTCTTGGTGGGCATAAATGAATCCGCCCCCCGAGCCGCCAGCCGAACGAACTTGGTGGCATAAATGCATGATGCCATCAAGTTCAAGTTTTCCTGCTTAGCGAGCACCACGACCCAAGGCGGACCGGAGAAAGATGTTTTTGGAATGGTGCAGTGAAGGGCGTGCAAATGTGTGCAATGATGCGCAGTGTGGTGTTTTTGCTGGTGCTGCCGGTCTTCAGAAAGCAACTAACCCAAACCATTAGTGTATGGAATATATGCCTACATTTGACCCCTCAAACCACCCTGTAGTTAGTGTTATATATATATATAGAGGCCAGTCCCATAGATGGTCTGGACAACTAGAACAACCATCAACAACCCGCCTGGCAACCCGCACTCTTGACGAGCTGCACTGCACCGGGTGCTATCTTGGTTTCTTTGTTGAGCCCACCACCGTACCAAAACAGCACCGACGGATGTGAAAAGTCGGATGATTTCACCATCCCTGACCATCCAACGACGTACTGATTACTCACAATCCATACTGTTGAGCTGAAATCATTCGCATGCTTTCAACATGGCGTTTCGGAGAGCTCGCTTCGCGCACCCGTCTGGGCCCGGTCCTGGCATACCTCGCCCAAGCTACTCACTACCTCAGGCCTCGCAAAATGAGGTCATAAGTCAAAAACGCAACAAATGGCCCTATATATTCAAACCAATTCGGAAAACATGTCAGGCCATTATAGACCCTAATGTCCTTTGGTCCTGGCAAATTGCAAGGTATGCAAATCTGTCACTGGCAGCACCTCACTCGTTGCGACTCGTTGCAACTCGGCATGCACATGGAGCACGAGAATCGAGTATGTGGCGCGCCTAATGTACAGCGATGCAAAGCAGAATGAGGAGAAGGAGTCGGTGAAACAAAATTCCGGCACCTGAGCGATACTGTCAGCGATGCCAATCGGTTCCAATCGGCCCCGGGTCTATCAGGTCCGGGTCTAGTTCGTCAACACCGGGAGGTGTTAGGGTTTCTGGCGAAGCAACCATGAAATTAGCAGGGAGCATCATCCTTTGCTTCTTGACTGGCGGCATGCAACCGATCAATGGGTTAAGATTTAAGATGCTTAAGTCAGGTAGTTGATCTACTGGGACCATCTGATGAAACTCTGTCGGCCAAGGAGGGAACAAATCCAAGAGCTTGGTGGTTCCATGTCATGCCCATGGCTTTGTGTCATCTCTGAAGCCAAAAATCCGATGCACTGCATATTTAACAACCTCAGGACCCACACGGGGCACCCATACACACCCATGCAAAATGTCATTATGCTGGCAGGCTCTATTGGCGGCACAAAATCATAGAATCCCATGCGAAACGACCCTGATAAGAACATATATTATAATTTATTAATAGAAAGGTCGGCATGGGCTTTGCATGGGATTTTACTATTTCATACCAATTAGCTAAGGTTCATCTCAGGTTAGCCTATGACATCTTATGATCATGCCAGTTTCATCCCCACAAAAACAGGTCCCTTTTTCAGCGGCTTGGGGTGGGAATGTGGCCGGTGTCCATCTCGAGTTCTCGAAATCGCCAGGGTTCTTCAGTTGTTCCAGGATATCAACTGAGATCCTGGAACATATCCCCTAGGGCTCCAGTCATACCTTCGCAGAAGGTGGGACTGGGGTGGGTGCCAGGAGGGTCCAGTCGTACCTTCTGAGGAGGTACGACTGGAGCCCAGTCGGGAGCGAAAAACATCCATTTCTTTGGGGTTGGGACTGGGTGAACAATGCCACCTCCAAGTGCTTGAAACTGGAGGTTTGAAAAGGAGGTGCGTGTTGGGTGGTCTGAGAACACATGTTCTCAAACCGGAGATCGCCAGGTTCAGAGATGATCTGTGATCACAAAACTAAAAAATAGAAGGTGATGAACAAAAGCTGATGATCTGCCCTACAAGTTATCTGTATGATCGGCCAAAAAGTGCGTGCGGTTTTGGGGGTTCCAGTTGACCCACGGAATTGCCCCTTTTCGGTCGCTTTGGCTTCTTAACACCTCAGTAATAGTATCTTGCAGACTGGTATGTAAGCATGCAGTTGATGAACCAAAGCAGTTGATGAACCAACATCCCGAAGCACAAGGCAAAGGGCCCGTATCTACTCAGGGATTGTGATCCGTTGTGCATCCGAAGTCTGAAACTTGCTTCACCACATGAGAGGAACACTCTGTTTTGAAACCATGCGGGTACTGGCTGAACATGTCTGGACATTTCTTGTCAAGGCATAGTTTCCGCGCTGGGCTCCTCCATCGAATTTCTGAGGTCAAATCCGCCATCAATGGAGTCTGACGTCATGAACTGCTGCTGCATCTCCAACAGGTAGTCTGCAATCTGCTCCTCATTCAGCAGCCCTGCCTCGTTGAGAGCATCATCAACATCACCTTCACCAACAGTATGCTCAGCATCCTTGTCATCTGCCTCAGCAGCATTCGTCTCTGTCGCTCCACCGATTTCTGTGGTTCCCGTCGTACTGGCCTCGAAGGAAGCGGCTCGGGGCGCGAAACGCTTGGCGCGCTCGGCGCGTCGTCTTTCTTCTTCCTTATCCACCGTGAAGACCACTTCAGGCACTTTGGGGGCCGCTTTGGCAGGAGCTTTGGCCAAAGGTGGCATGAAGGGCATCATGGACCGTCGCAACTCATGTGGGCCGTGGGCATAAATACAACGAAGCCCATGTACACAGTGCCCCTGCGAAGCCCAGTTGTTACAAAGCCTGGTCTTATAGAAGGGATGTCTGGAAGCTGCTGCCTGCCCAAGACGCTGTTGAACCAATCGCTCGCACGCACGGTGGGCCGCGCAAAGCTGCCATGGTTCCAGATCCGGCTCGGGAAACCACGACAAGCGCACGTCTTTGAGTTCACCCACCAAGGACTCCTCTGCCACAGCCTGTGGCTCCCCACGGCAATGGAAAGCTCCATCCTCCACTGGAACACCTGCGGTGGTCAACATCTGCCGCAGTGATGAGATCTGTGCCTCTGCACTGATGCGCATTGTTACCGGCACAGTCACCACCACCTTCGTCCCCGACGGCACTGGTATGCTGGGCACTGCTGGCATGACTGTGTCGGACCCCTCCACAGCGGCTGGGCCCGGTTCGCTCGCTTCGAGGGCTGGTGCCACCGCTTCAGCCTCCATCTGCGAGGGCCCCAGCCTCGGACGAGCGCCCGCCACGGGCCCCTCACCGGGTGCAAGGTGACGGTGCCGGTTTCGTGGAGGTGCGGTTGAACGGGTTCTTCACGGTTGAGAAGACACGCACGGAAACGCAACTCTCAACAATCTACTGAGCCAAACCAACTCAACTGGGGCATCTGTGAGGACAAATGTGGTGTTTCAAGCACATGGGGCAATGCTTGCATGCAACGCTCACCCCATGTACTTGTTACTTTTGTCGTCCCCACGTGCAATACAAAGCAACATGCGATTGACCAAAATTCAGGATTACAGTACAATACCCAAACACTCCATGTATGTCATAGTTATATACCTACATTGGGGTGGTTTGAGGGGTCGATTGAGGCATATATAGGCATACATGGAGTGTCTGGGATTTAGTACGCTCTCGAAGTACTTGAACTCACGAAGTTCCAAGCAATCAAAGAAAAAGAACTCGAAGGCCGCGATGCGTCCTTTCTCACAATGCCAGCGGGTGGCGAAGGTCGTCGCCGAACGTGACTCAAGGGCCCTTCGGCCGGATTTGAGAATTGAAATTCGATTGCGGTGTGACTCGAATGTCATCTATCCGCTCTCATCATGAAATGCATTGCAAAATGGAAAACAAATCTCACATGTGCATTCGCAACATTGACACGCCCAAGGAAGTTTTCAAGGGCTGTCGAAGAAAATTCAAAAAGCGGGCTAGAGTCCTCTTCAACGAAGGACATCTAAATCACTCACATGGTACCAGGCACCATGTTCTCTCTCAGCCAGGCGTCTTGGTCGAGTGCCAGCAACAAACGTCATAGGAGTCTGGCAGGTTCGATCAGCCAGTTCACCGTTGTAGATTTGCTCACGAACACGGTCATTGCGTTCCAAGGCAATGATCTGATTTCTCTGACGAACGATGCGACGATTCACGTCAGCCAAAAACACCAGGTTGTCATTCCACATTCGGTGCCACTGACATACTTGCTCATCAGAAAATTGCGAGGTGTCCTGAGCTCGAAGCAATTCACTGAACTTCCTCCAGCGCTGTGTGGTGAAGCTCTCAGATTGCAACACGCACCTTGTCTGGGAGTCCAGACTGCTATCATGGTTTTCAAGTTCCCATAGAAGGCGACGATATGGGCCTTGTCCAGCCTCGTTTTGAACTCTCACCTTCATGCGACTCCAGCGATGCCATTCTTCATCTGGAAGATCCGACTCTGTGTTCGTAGTCGTGCTTCCTGAATCTATTCCAGGACGACGGGCCAAAGTCAGTGCATTTAGAATCACCTCATCGGCCTGAACAGCTGCGGAAACGACATGGCTAGGAGGATTGAGCGGGTTCTCAGTCACTGGGGCATTCGCAGAAGCTTGGTCATTCTCAACAACCTGCTCATTTTCATTCATCTCCTCTCTGAACAGGTTCGTCACCTTGTCATTTGCAAAGCGGTAGGCCTTGTAAAAGATGGTTTCAATGCCAAAACGCAGAAACACGTTTTCAAGGCCGATCCATGCGAAGATCATGATGACCATGAAGGACATGAAGATTGGTAATCTCCATCCTTCAGCTTCAACAGATGTCAAAGCTCCTTCAGCAAGAGGCGCTTCGCTTGCCATCAAAATGGCTGCGGAAAACAAGGCTGCCTTCTTCCATTCGTCTTGATGACTATTTGAGCTGCGATGGGCATAAAAATGCCTTCTGCTGCAGTATTTGTTTCGAGGATCACTCTCGTTACGGGGTTTGCAGCAACTTGGAAGTAAACAAAGACCTTGTTCATGCTTTTGCCACTCTTCTACTGCAAAAACTTGTTGTTCTTCCATTTCTTTTGAAAAAGCTTCATGTATTTCCCTTTCTTCTTTCTTGGCTTCCGAGGACACTTTCTTGGAGGCTGTAAAGTCGGGGTTGAACTTGAGTTGATGGGTGCCACGCTTCATGATGTAGGCCATGGAATCTCTGGAAGCCGGCTTTGTCAAGCCGTCAGAGATCTGTTGGTGTGAGTTCACCCACATCCATTTTCCCAACAAAGCGTTCATACGATCTCGCACAATGGCCACTTCGATCGCAGTTCTTTTCTCACTCAATTTCATGCTGGGAGACAAGGACTTGGCAGCATCAAACAAAGATTTTGCATCTGTCACAAGCGGGGATGGTCCAAGCTTTTTCAATGCTTCCGGACTTTCGATCGGCAAGGTGGGGTCGATCATGACGGAAACAAAAATCTTGCACCATTCAAGCTCGTCCACTGCAATGGCGGCTGCTTGAGCCTCTGAGGACAAGCTTGACCGACAAATACGTGCCAACTTGTGCGATTTCCAATAAAAGACATTGAGCGGCATCATGCTGCCGGATTCCAGCTCTTGGTGCGAACAAATGAAAACCAAAAGTCCACCTTGGCTTGATCCGTCGGGTCGTACGGCCCAAGCAGCATCGGTATATGCTCCAATGCACAACTCAGAAAAAGCACATGAACCACGCATGTACAGTTGGTGATCTTTTGAAACTTCTTTTGCAAAACGAAGCAGCTTGTTTGCTTGGTTCAAATCACCAACACATGGATTGCTTGCTGATGCTTGCAAAATGCTCACGCTTGCACACAACTCCGGAAGGCTTTGATGAGCAGGCCATGCTAGCGCACCAATGAGGGCACGGAACTGTCGATGTTCACGTTCATCGCATGGAGACTCTGTCATTGTTTTCCTGGATTTGTCCAATGAAATAGGTTTCACCTTTTGCACATAGTTCGCCAGACTCACCGAAATGGTGGAGTAGTCTAACGACTGTTGCAGTTCAGCACCACAAAAGATGATCTTTGAGCCATTTCCAAAATCCCATGCACCAAAACGAAAACGCTGAGCCAAACGCAGGATGCGGTTGAGGAAACACTCTTCATTGGGACATTCCTTTTTCAAATCATGCTCACTGCAGAAACCTTCACCAGCACCAATGAAGTCGTCCACATGGAGTCCAAAAATGCCGTCAACAATGCTAGGGACCCCATTCCATTGGAACACTTCGAAAGCTGGATCAGATTCATATGCAGCTCGAATGCTGAGGTACACACAACGATCCAAAGGGTGTGGGATCATGCCAAGTTCCTCAGTCAAGCACCTATGAGCAGTTGCATTCCACTGTCTTGGAGCTCTGCAATCACCAAAAGCGGGCTTGGATGCACGCATGATTTGCCATGGTTTCAATCCAATCTTTCTCTCCAGGAGGCGTCGAATCTCAGCTGAGGGCTGTATGAACACTCTGGCTTCTTGTTCGATGTTGTCTGCTTGTTGAAAAGCAGTCTTCACATCAGCACTCCACAGCTTGAGTTGACGAACCACTGCAAAAAGATAAATGGAGCTGCGACCAACCATGGACAAAGTAGGAGCTTCCTTATCTACAGTGTCTTCGAGCACATCACGATGTTTGAATCCCTGTATGATGATTCGGGCGTTTGCTTTCTGCCCTTCTTTTGTTGGCTTCCAGCGCTGCAAAAATCTTGCTGGTACTGCTTCGCCTGGTTGGGCTTCGGAGGCATCGACTGGTCGCCATGCTTGATTCTCAAACCAGACATCCAAAGCCTTGTCGCGAGCTTCGGCGAACTCTTCTTTCTGCTCTTTGGTGAGGTTCTTCTCACTGAATGAAGTGGCCAGGAAATTTTCGTCCAGCCAATCAACTTCCTCACCATACAGCATGTCATATTGACTTTTCAGCTGATGATCATCTCGAGAAACAGGCGGGAGGCCATCAAGTTGACGTGCCTTGTTGTAGGACTCATACAGGTTTTCAAAGTCTTTGTGCCGAGAGTCATGAGGTGGAGGGCTTCTTGATCTTCCTCGGCCACTTGGATCTTGGTCTTCTTTTGTTTCTACTTCAACTGCTTCAGCTTCTGCTGCTGCTGTCTTGTGTTCTGCTGCTGCCGCAGTGTGCTGAGGTTCTGTTGTCACTTCTTCTTCGGCTTGAGGTTCTGACATTGGAACTTCTGGACTCTCTGGTGGTACCAGAGGAGGGACAGAAGTTTCAGCCTTTGTCTCTGGTGGTACCAGAGAAAGGACAGAAGTTTCAGCCTTTGCATTCGAAAAGGTGGGATCCCCTGCAAGATCAAGAAAACGCACAGGACCCTGCACAGGGGTCAGAGCTTGTCGAACTCGATGAACCAAACTGTTCGAAACAGCTGTGTCAGGTTGCGTTTCCAGGCGATGAACTCTTTCTCGAGCCACCTCGGCACGAATATGCTCACTTGCAACACGCACCAAACTGGATCCATGAGCAACCCAGTAAACAGAAGCTCGGATGCGGCCGTCATCGTTCTTGCGGGGCTCTATGGCGCAGACCAATGCAGGGCCACGCCAGCGAGTAGGGTCAAGTTTGTTTTCCCCCTGTCTCCAGTAGTAGATCCAATCGCCAAGGCTGGCGGCCACATGTTCAGACCGTGGCCGGGCAAGAAGTGCACGTTTGAGCAGCTGGTTGTTGTTGGCTTCATAAAATGCTTTGGCTGCTGAGTACCGAAGTGCTTGATCTTTTTGGTGCTGTTCCGTGTCATCGAGCGGTTTGGACAAGTGCGGTTCATCACAAAGACCGTTCGATTGAGGATTGTGTCCAAAAACGATTTGGTATGGTGAGCTGCCATGCACTGAACGAAGGCGGTTTCGTTGATGACAAGCAACTGGAACAGCTTCTTCAAGGAGTACATTCGGTTCATCTTTTTGCATTTTGAGCAGCTGCATTCTTCTCACAGCGTGGAGTCTTTCCACTGATCCCATTCTATAGTGAGCTTCTTTGGGCACGAGGATCAGCTTGATGTTGTTTTGGTCGAAGAAGTCCAGATACTTCTGACTCATGTGTGCTCCCGACTGGTCTGTTCTGAATCGTTCTGGAGGACCAAAAGTTTGAAGCCATTGTTCACGAAGTATCTTCAATTCAGCTTCTTCAGTTTCTCTCTCCAACACTGCATTGATTTCGTACTTGGAATAGATGTCGAGGATGGCCAAAACCTTTCGCTTTT